TGATCGCCTGAAAGCGAGGGTCAGGGGGCAGCAAGGACACTTGGTTAGGGAAGAGGAGACATGCATGCTCCAAGGGCACGGCCTTCCCGCTGATCCCCTGTCAGAGAAAGGCAAGGCATCAGGCAGTGGCAGTCTGATTAAGTCAGGAAGCCTATTTTGAAGCTTTGATGGTGACATTAGCTTGGCATACTGTTCACTGGAGAGCTGCATCCCGGAAGGATTACAATGACCTGTTTTTCTAGCTTTTCAACTGATTCAAACAATCAGCTTCGCCAAAGCACTTAAAAATGATCGATTTCATTTGCAAAGATTGACTAGCAGGGCTGCGTAGTTCCACCTTTGGCGGTGGACTCAGCCATTTCATGGGGACCCATTGAACACCTTAAGATATTAACAGCTGACAGAGATCGCTTTCTTGCTCAAGGAGTCTGAGAAAGAAAAAAAAAAAAAACTCATCCTGGCCTTGTTACTTGTAATTTGGCCACAATGCACAGCAAATTAACAAAAGGGCATTTACCACTGCTGGCTCATTTGGCTGTGAAGTAACTGAGGTTTATCCATGCAGTGATGTGAAGGTCTGGACCAGCTCTCAGTACACTGGTTTAACTTTCTGAGCCTGAAAGGAATTTTCTACCCTCTTAAAATGTTTATATGCTTTGGTGCACAGTCTGGACAACCCCAAAGCACACTATGAATATAGATGCTGAAAATACATAAGAGCTTTGTTTAGCTTAACACCTAAATGTTTAGAATCTTTTGATATCACTGGCGTATTTTCCCCCCTTTTTCACCACAGTAAAAGTTTGTAAAAGAGTTTGCACCTTATAAACCTGCTGCGAGCGGTGCTTAAAACCAATTGTCTGATGTGAGATTTAGGCCCACAAGCTAAGCAAACAGGATTTCACCCTTGATGAGTTTTCAGCCATGACCCCTGTCTTTCTAAAGAGACGAGTTGGATGGGTTGCATTTTTCATCATACAAACTCTTTAGAAAGCTAATGGCAAAACCATATGGATTTTCAGGGGCTCCCGTCACAAAGCAACTTCATTCACCTGTTTTCTTTTAAACGCTGCCAGTGGAGCTAGCGTGGACTAACGCAGAGAGCAGAAATCTGGCTTCTGCTCCCACTTTTTGCACGAATGCTCTCCCCACCTGCCTTCGCCGGTTCCCCTCCACACAGCGCGTGCTGTGTGTGTCCTGCTGGAGAGCAAGCTTCCCAGCACAGGGAAGGTCTCTCCCTCTGCGCTCGGATTGTGCTCTCTTGATCCTGGCCGCCTTTTGTAGCATGCTCTGCTGCATTAGCAATAAGCAGGCGTGAGAGTCCAGCGGCTCTCTAAGGAGACAGGAGATGGGTGGGCGGAGGGAAACTGTGCCCCAGCTCAGGGCTTGCTTTCTGTCCTGCAACTGCTGTTTTCTTGCGTGCTGTGCGCTTGCACAGTAGGCCAGGTCAGCTGAATCCCTGGCAGCGTCTGAGAGTTTTGAGACCAACTTCAGCAGGCGCAGGGACAGAACCATTTTCATGCACTGAGGCACGTTCTTCTCCCACTATTACTAGTGCGAAGCCCCAGCGCTCCACTGACCTCAGCAGCAATTCTTTGGAGGGTGAAACCAGGGAGTAGCCACCCGCTATAGCCTGGGGCTGGTGGTTTACTCAAATTGATGAGCTCCTTGCGAAGACTGCTCTAAGTGACTCACTCCTCAGTCTGTTTAGACCAACTTCATGGACTGAAGTGGAAATTTTGCCCAAGCAAAGTTATTCCTCCTCCCTCAGGTTATGCCTGGAAAGCAGCACTTTGCCCATGTGCATTTCATTGTCACAAGTGATATCTTAATGGCAAAAGCCCTTTACCTAAAAACACTTAATCATTTTCATCGTCTGAAGGCAAGGTTGTGCACTTTAGGGTTTTCCTTTTCTGCCACATTATTGTCCAGGTTTAGCAAACCACAGTCACTATGTGCCATCCTTAGTTGAGCTGTTGCCTACCAACTCAGCTCATGTGAGAGGATCAACACTGGGGCTATCCCTGCCTTCAGCTGAGAGCAGGAGCTAGTTTGTTTAGCTGTGTGTTACATGGGCACACGCGGCAACTGATGCTGCACTCAGTTTGCATTCTCCTCCCAGGTGCGCCACAGACTCAGGCAGAAAGAGAACAGAGTGCATTTCATTAATGCCATCTCTGGGAACCTTCAGTGCAGGTTCCTGCTCCCCTTTCCAAGCAGGTACAATAAAATAAAGTCACTACATGCTGTTAAGCAGCAAAACACTTTCCACAGACAGGGAACACCGGGGTGAAGTGCAGAGGATGTCTGGAAACACTACCACAGCATTAAAAGCTTAGTCAGTCCTAAAGAGCTGAGGAAGAGGGCAGGGGACAAGATCCACCTGTTAGATCTGATTGAGGTGTCGAGAAAGGAGACAAAAGGCTGGTTTAGATCACGCAAACAGCAGAGGTTCCCATACCGGCAAGGTGAGCTGAAGAGAAGGACAAACAGGGAGCCAATTTCCTTCTGAAGGAAAGGAAAACTCCTTCTACCTGGAAGGAGACAAGCTGGGTTAGGTAGCTGACTGCAAGGGCTACTCTTCAAGGTAGCCACGCTACCCTGTATTTCTAGGTTGCCTTGAGCACAGCTTTTTTTCCTCAAGGAAAGCCCTTCAGACATGGAGGCACTCTGGGGTTCAAGGGGAGTTTCCTATGCAGCACAGCTTGCGTGACTGGAGGCTTTTTAGGGATGAAAAATATGAGCTAACGCCTAGAACATCCTAGCCCCAAAGGTGATTCAGGTTTATTACTCTTGTTGCAGTGGACACTCAGGCCCATCTTGTGCTAGGTGTGATTCATCATGCCGTTACAGCCAACGTCTTGCAAATCCACACTGGTCAAATACAGCTCTTGCGTTATACTGGGAAAAGCTGGTCATTGTATTTTCCTATGGGAACTTCTCCCCTTTCTCCCATATAATCTCACTTGCTATCTCATATCACTTTCTCAATCTGTACGTTCTCTTTAAATGATTGTTTTTTATTTTTCCCCTATACCTGACTATTTTATTCCTCTGAAACTTCCTTTTTGTTGTTCCAGATGTTTGGGAGGGGGTTAATATTTTTCCTCATTAACAGAATTTTTTCCTTCTTTCCTCCTTCCTGTTTTCTTTAACCATATTTTTTCCTCCCATTCTCAGCTCTTACAGCTCTGTCTCCTTCTGTTATCCTCTCCCAGCCATCCCAGGAGGGGGCTGGAGCACACATCCCACTTGCCTTCCAAATACTGTTGACAAGAATGTTTCAGAGGATGAGTGACTGACAGACAAAAACCAGCTTCAAATACTCTGAATGCTCTAACAGCTTTATCCTCCTCAATACAGTAAGGAAAATAACCTTCGAAAGGGATAGGCCATATTTTTAGCCAACCTTAAACTCCGCTTCTAATGCTATCTGAAGAAATAGTTTTATGCTTAGCTGTCTCACTGCCTGGATTCACTTTCCCCAAACAGGTATTTAGAGGACAGACTCCACATTGAAAACACAGAGCTCCTGAACAGGTCTGGCAATTCAGCACTGCTCTTCACTTGGCCTGACAGGGATGCATAATTGGACTCTTGGAAACGAGTTTTCTGCAGATACCTAGAAATGTTGTATAGGGGGGGGTCCCTGGAGCTGATCCAAACCTTGCACCAGAGTTAGGAAGGCAGGTGGTATACATCGAGAGCTTTGCAACATGTCTGGTCCCCTGACTTTGACCAGCACAGAGGAACTAAATAGGGTGAAATTCAAACCCCACCAGAAGTATTGAATTGATACAGAGTGTCAGAACTTACTCCCAAGTCACAATCACCACCAAATTCTGATCTTGATTTTTTCGATGTGCCTTGAAGGAGATAAAATTTAGAACAGCTTAGGGTAGATAAATAAGGATGTTTCAGCTCTGTGCTGACTTCAGATATGTTTGACCTTGTCTTCCTCCTCTCCTATTGGCCTTATGACAAACCAGATTAAGCAGTGATCTCTTCCAAACAGTCTTCAGTTTGTTAAGCTTGTAAACAATGGTAAGGGTGGAAACCAATGCAACATGGATAAAGCTTAGAAATCCAGGCTGGGATTTCCCTGTGATGGGCCTACAAGGAATGTGTGCTAATTAACAGGGCTAATTCATTGTGCGGCGCTCCTCTCCCCATACTCCGTGCCGTTCCCTCTTCCAGCCTCTTCACTTAGGTCACCTCCTGCTCACAGAGGCCACCACAGTTGCAGCCTGGGCTATGTATTCACCCTGGCACCCTCCCAAAAAGCATTAGCGGGGACGCAGAGGGGAGTCTTCACCTGGAAAGAAGTATGGACATGTGGCCTCTGGAGTCCCAGCAGCCCAAGGAGCAGCCATCTCCTGTCAGCCCTCCTTCCCCAGTTGCCCCATGCTACCTGCCCTTGAGGCCACCAAGCTGCAACCAACGTTTGGACACCCCACCAAAACGATAGCATCTCAGCTCTGCTCTGTCTGTCATCCTACAGCGCTTTGTGTCAACACGTCCTTCGCTTGCGCAGCACAGGATCGGAGGCAGCATGTTCAGCAAGGGTTTTATGCTCAGTGCTCATTTAGGCTGGAAAGAAGCCAGGGGCCATCGAGGTTGAGGCAGGGTGAGGGGCTGATTTGTTGCTGATCTGTTTGGGATATTTTTTCCCTTCTCCCCCGCTGGTTACACAAACCAAAAAGACTGTTGCAGTGACAGCATTAGTGGCTGCTGCGTTTGAAGTGCTCTCCTTCATTTGTAAGGGCTGACTTGTTTATGGCAAGACAGCTCTGAAGCAATTATTAGGATGCAAATGGAGAGGTTCCCCTTTTTCTTTTACTGATTACCTGTGAACCTCTCTACAGGGGAAAGCAGTGAGGCCACTTGCTTAGCAAAGCAAAGAGGGATTGTGGAAGTGTTGCTGTGCCTTAACTTAGTAAAAATTAACAAGCAGTCTTATGCACAAGCCCGTGTAACACCCAGCATAAAGCGTGTGCGCCATGGGCGGGTAAGTGCCCAAGAGTTCTTTTTATCGGCTTTCAAACTCAGGGGATATTTCCAAGTGGGATCCTGAAACAATCTGGTCCCGGCCCCAGCGCTATCCAGTATTGCCGCTTATGTCTGGGGCAGTAGCATAAGAGAGTACAGGTCAGAACTTATGGCTCAAAAATGCTGGGGAGGAGCTGCAAGGGCTCAGAGAGACAGACAATGCGGCAAAAATCAGGAACAAACACAAACGTGCTGCATTTGGGAAGGAGAAATTAAAACTGCCGCTGTCCTGCATGTGCTTAATTCAACTTAAGCCAAGTTCTTATTTTAGACAGACATGCTCTATACTGACTAGGTAGGCTACAGGAAACAGACTCAGTGCTTCAGTGCCAAAAACAAAAAAAACCCACAGATCTGAGTGTGTACAGCTAAGTAAATCTGCCCCTGTTGGCTACAGGAGCTGTGGTAGTCCCTCATCGTAAAATACCCTTTATCCACTGTTGCGCACGTGCATGGAGCAGATCAGACATCCTTCACCAAGTACGCTAGGCTTTAGGACACAGCAACTGCTCATCCACTCAGGGGGAGGATGGCAAACTGCGTCTATTGGTTATAGACAGACTGCTGGGAAGGGTTTTTCTCCCCAAGCTGGAAGGCATCTTTTTCCAGTGCAGCAACTTTTTCTGTTCCTTTGGCAGTTCCAGCTGGGCATGGAAAATCCCAACCAGCTGCAGACTTTAAGACATTGTTTTAGGGTAAGACCTGTCAGGAGGAATGAGGCGTTTTGATGGCTAGTTGCTTGTGCTGTGACTGTCACGTGCGCACTGGAGAGGCTGTGTTTGCTTATGTGCACGCTGCCCTTTCCGTATCTAGAAAAGGCAAGAGCCAGTGCAGTGTTTCCCATTGACCATTCAGCGTTGAGTGTACCAATAACAGTACAGTCACATATTCGAGCTTAGGGAAAGGAACAGCATCTTCTTCACAAGGGAACAGGCCCTAGCACACTGTGGACAGTCTCACTACCCACGTAACAAACAGAGGAGTGACCGTCCTCAGCAAGTTTCTCTCGCAATTCTGTGCTCAGTTGCCCTTTCGCTTGGCATAAAAGGTTTGGCGCCCTCAGCGCCTGTGATATGGGAACGCAAACGTGAACGGCGGGTCAGGAATCACGGTTATGCAAAGGCTGCCTCTAGGCTTAAGCAGAAAGTTCAGAAGAAGGTTTCTTCACTCTTCAGCAGAGATATGCTGGGATTAGGGGGACAGGCAGTCTGTCCGCACAGGGGGTGTTGCTAGTTTTGGAGGGACTGTCAGCTCTAGCCCATGGTAATAGGCAAGCAGGTCCGGGTGAAAGACAACTCTGCCAAACTAAGACAGAAAAAACCAAGGAGAAATGGAAGACAGGCTCTCAGAGGACAGGGTGAGATGGGTTCACACTTCACAGTCCAGATCTGTTGCCTGAAGCAGTCTAAGAACAGCAGGGTTGTTCGGGCTAATTATGTGGGTCAAGATAAATACAGTTTACAAAGTGACAGTGTTGGTCAGAGTTTGGAGCCTAATATCCGCTATGACAGGGGCCAAACCAAGTAGACACAACAAAGTGAAGCTGTTTTCCTCTCTGAAAATTGGAAGGTTTCTGGTCATCGGATGAATGAGTCTCTCTAGAGCAAAGAGGAGAGACGAACCAGTTTACGAGGTGAGGTAATTGATTGCATCACAGGGAATGCCTCGGGAAGCCCCATCACCCTTGAATCCTGCACTGAGCAAAACCCAGACCCCCACAGCTGGCCACAGGACACCCTTCCTGTCTGCAGCACTTGCACGAGGCAAGACACGCTGGCTAGCCCAAGGAAGAGAAGCAAGTTACGCAGGAGGACTCTAGGGCCAAATTCGCCTCTGGAACTTGACCGACATCCTTGCTGGAGTCCTGCAGCCAAACCCTCTCCTGAAGGACTGCCAGATTTAGCAAATTTACAACTGCATAAAGACCCAGTTCTGTATATCAGCATAGTTCTCCAGAAGCCCAATGATGGAAGTTTACCCAGTTGGAGAGTTTCACCACTGTGTTTCTTCAGGGGATTTTTACTCACCACATGTTTTTCTGATTTCACTGACCACTGTCTGCCTTTCGCCCCCATTTCGTATGCATTCCCCATCTGTTCCCTTCCCCCCCCCCAACACGTTGTTTTCCTTGAGTGTTTTCTAAGCCCGCTGCAAATCCAACAGCACTCAAGTTCTCGTTGAACTTTTGAACCCACCCTGTTCAAGTGGGTGCTAAATCAGGCAGGCCAAGGCAAGCCAGCTCTAATTCTGATGCTAGTAATTGCGCTTTTGGAAAAATAATTGACAAACATTCTGCATTTAGACAAAGCTAGTCGAAGGGAGCGAGGGAGAATACTTATAGGCGCTAACGCTGCTCTGCAGAGCACCAGTGCTCAAGTAGGACATTTTAATAACATCCTTCATGGTCGAGTGTTTTGCTTGGAACCCTTTTTTCCTCCCTCCACTCAGACAATTGTCAGCAAAGAGACTCGCAGAGAACAAAATGGAATTAAATCTACTCAGAAAATTAGAACGTTCTGCATTTCTTTCTTTCTGTGCTGGATTCATTACTAGCGGGGCTATAATCTGCGTTTTTTTGCCTGAAGCACACACCCACTCTTGCCTCTTAACAGTGATGCTGCTGTTCTCCCAGATAAACAGGTCCTCCCTGAATGGATTATAGCTCCCAGCCCAATGCAGCCTACCGACAAGGTAAAAACAAACAAATGCATTCCCAGGGCCCCATCCAACTCTTAGGGAAGAAAATGAAAACCCTCGCTATTTCAGTGGAGTTTAGATTTAACCCTTAAAAGTCCCTGTGCTGATGGCTAATTGCACAGAGTCCAGGATGTTTGGGTTGTAAGGATTCGGCACTGCCTACACTGTGTCTTTCCCCAACCCCGCAGCCACTTCAGAGGGCTCAAGCCCTCCAGGGCCCACCAGGTCCCCCCTCCCAGCCATACTAGCAACACGAGACCTCTGCATTAAGGCAAGAGGCGTTTTGCTTGTGGCTCATGCCCTGAGACTGTGGAGCAGCTCTAATCTGTACTGCGAGAGGAGACTCCTCCCTCTCCTCATGTTCTTCCTCAGCTGTTTTAGTGACCACAACTTCTCAAACAGCCTCTTTCTTGCTGACAATAAGAAAGGTACACATTTTTAACGCAACCATGGCTTTTTTCCCCTGTTACTATTGCAAAGAACATCTCTTCCAGGTTGTCGTTTTCCCATCCGTTTAATTCACATAGCTCCCAAGGGGCATCACTCAGTTTTACCAGTTTCAGTTCTAGTTACCAGAGCTGTGCCAATATTGCTATTTCTGGCCCTATGCTAGCTTATGCCCTCAGAACGTTTCGGCTCCTTTTAACTCAGATGCATTTGCTTTCCTGGTGACATGATTCCTTCTGCTGCAGCAATTCTACAGGGTTTTTTTAATACCATGAACTCTTCCTGGGTTGACAAATTGACCGAAGGAAGTATCTAAACTAGGAGGGGTGACACTGAATGTGCCAAAACAGACATTAATATTCACGCTTCAACTCACCCAGCAGCTGGGAGAAAAGGGACAATGAGTTAAATAACGAAACGAGGGGCAATTGAAATAAAAATATGCCAGAAACATTTGCATTGACATAGAAAGCTGTTAGTACAAGGACAAGAGATATCTGAATTCATTGCTTAGGAACTCGCATCGTGTTTGCGGTGGAAGGAGAACAAGAAAACATTCCCTGAGATTGGGCTGCTCCTTCCCGGCACGTCCCAGAAGCCCCAGCTGGAGGGTCCTGGCTGCCTCCTGCCTGTGGCCCAGACAGGGCCAAGTGCTCTGTAACACCTACCAGTACTAATGCATCTTCCCATCCTAACAGTTCAAACAGCCACTTTCTTTTTATTTCTCCCACTCAATTTTTGCATACCTCTTCAGCATCAGACCAATGCTTTCAGTGGTAATAGGCTCATTACTGCTTTGAATTTGGAGTGCTTTCATCAGCCCACTGTTCCTGTCATTTACCATGGTTTATGGTGATAATGAGGGTTTGGGTATGTAAAGATGCCCTAAGTACACATGGGAGTGCAACCCCCAGCCTTGGGCATTAGTGACTATGAATGGGTAAGGGAGTGCTTAGCTGAGGAAACTAAAACAGGAGAGAGAAAGCCACACTTCTTCAGTCTTCCTGGGCTAGCAAGTGCTGTTTATCTTGCTTAAATGACTAGAGAAGAGAAAGCTTTTTTTTTTTTTTTTTCTCTCTGTAACTATTTTACAGTTTAATCTTGGCCATGCCCAGTTGCTTGCATTACTTTGGAAACTAAGCAGTTGCAGACTTGCCCAATATGTGACTGGGAGATGATCTGGGAAGTCCAGGAACCATGGGCATAAGCCTTTCAGGTCATCACAGAAACCAAAAGCATTAAAGGACACCTTTGAGTCTTATCATGCCTGAAGAACAACAAATAAAACAACAAGGGAGAAATGTCCTTATGATTCATGTTTTTGGGGGGTAACAATCTGAAATTCTTCCTTGCCAGGGACAATTTTGAGCAGCAAACATCATTTCTGGCCACATATAATCCTGCTGGAGCATACATGCTTGATCTGTGCGCACAGTAGCATAATTGCATGTGCAGGTGTTGTAGAAGTATGTTTGTTGATTTGCTACCAGATTTCATAACAGTGCAAATCATTCATAGCATTTTTGGCACTCAATTACTGTTCACACCTATAATTTCAGAAACCTTATTTTAGGGGGGAAAATCAGGTATATTATTTCTGCTAGTAACACTGTTATTAAAAATAACTACCTGAATGACATTAAGAAACTGTATTTGAGGTGATCAATGGAAAAATTGACTGGACAGCAGGAAATATTTCTAATGATATGTTACACGGTGGATTATTATTCCCATAGAAGAGGTGAAAGCCTCATTGACTGAAAGCTTTTAAATGGAGGATTTAAGAATGGGGGGGGTGGGGGGGGGAAGGAACAA